AAATCACGCGAAGCTCTGGGGCAGTGTTCCGGTCTCAGTAAATAGCATGTGTTAACCTAGACACAGAAATGGGCTTCCTCTGTTTGAGGAACAGCAAATATCCAGCTGTACCTGAAGCAAAGAGATCAAGGACAAATATAGCAGTAGACAAGATCAGAGCTATGTATAAAGCGGGCGCCAGATCATGGTAGTGTCTGGTTGAAGAGTTCGGATTTTACCCAGGGGTAATGAGAATATATTAAAGAGTTTTCTAATCGTAGGGCAGATTATGCTTTAGAAAGACCACTTCGGCTATAGTGAGAACTGAGGGAAGTGTAAGTGGAGGCACAGAGACCCATTATGAGGCAACTGCTATCATGGAAGAAAGACGACCCTGGCCCAGTAGCTCATCCGAACACCAAGGTTGCAAGTTCAATCCTCAGTCAGAGCACATACGAGAAGCAATCAATGGATGCATAAATAAATGGAGTAACACACTGATGTTTCTCTCTCTGTTGCTCTCTCCCTCTCTCTTGCTTTCTCCCTCTAAAAACTAAACATAAATAAAAAACCCACCATGATGAAGGTGTGTACCTGGGCCAAAGCAGTGAAGCTGGTAAGAAGTAGTAGGAGTGGGGATATCAAAGTACAGTAGGCCAAAATTACTGGCAGGTTAGATGCAGCATGTAAAAGAAATAGAAGGAAATCTGACTTTGGAATGAGCAAAACCTAGTAGTCAAACATACACATGTAGGGTCAGATCATTTAAGTCTGATCATGTTGAAGGCTTTGGTTTTACCTGAAATGCACAGGAAGCATTGGAGAAGAAAAAAGGGGTAGGATTCCAGATATATTTTGTTGATTTAACATAGAAGGCTCAGCAAACACACACCAGGCCCCTCACCACTGTTTTAGCCTGAGCCACAGCTGATTCTTTCTGGAAAGCCTAGGAGCCAGCCCATCAATCAGAGATGAGGATTTCCTCAGAAGTGCAGTGAAACCAGATGAAGCTTATTCTTGAGACACATTGGTGCAAATACACCCTTCTTCTATACTCCTGTACCCCCAAATCTATTAAGAAACTGCTGGAACCAATTACATGACAACCTTCTGACCATGTAAACTCACCCAGTTTATATCCCTGTCCCCCTTGGTTCTGCTTTGGTCCTCTATCCTCAGACTCAATCTGCTGTCACCTCTTCTCCTGATCCAACTTCCCACTGTGCCCTCAGCTGATTAACAAACACCTCTGCATCCTTACCCTCTTCAGGAAGCATTCCCTTTATCCACCACCTTTAACTTCAGTGTGGCTCTCCCTGAATAACACCACAAGCACTGCAGCCCCTAAAAAGGGCAGTCAGCGGCTGGTTCTCCAAACCCTTACACATGCCAGCCAGGAACGGACATGTAACATGTGGATGCTACGACTGAATATGGTAAAGAAGTACCATTCCCATGGAAGTGATAAAATGACAAATTCACAAAGAAGAAAACAACCCACCTTAACGGTAAACACTAGAGAACTGCCTAAAAAAACCTAAAATATATCCACAGAAGGATATTATTAAAGACATTATAAATTCATGTTGCAGAAGAATACTTAATGCCTTTTAAGCATATACACGTAAAAGATTATTAAGGCCCTGGCTGGTGTGGCTCAGTTGGTTAGAGCGTCATCCCAAAAACCAAAAGGTCACGGGTTTGATTCCTGGTCAGGACACATGCCTAGGTTGGGGGTTCAGTCCCTGGTCAGGGTGCGTACAAGAGACAATGGATTGATGTTTCTCTCTCTTATCGCTGCTTTTCTCTCCCCCTCCTTTCCTCTCTCTCTAAAATCAATAATCACGCCCTTAGATGAGGATTAAAAAATTAAAAAGGCCCTGACCAGTGTGGCTTAGTTGGTTGGGCACTGCACCACAAAGCGAAAGGTTGTCAGTTCGATTCCCAGTCAGGGCACAGGCCTGTGCTGCAGGCCAGTCCCCATTTGGGACGTGCGCAGTGATTCTCTCCCATGTCGGCGTTTCTCTCCCTCTCCATCTGCTTACCTTCCCCTCTCTCTAAAAGTAAATAAATAAAATCTTTTAAAAAATTAAAAAGATTATTAAGCAATATGTAACACACAAGGTTGATTTCACTAAAAAGAAAGAGGAATGCAGGGTGTGTGTGCTCAGAAAATTATAAATAAACTGTACCCAAAATGTTCCTCTCTAGGTGGTAGAGTTACAAATCATTTACTTTTCATATTTTCCTTAATTTCCACAATAAGTATAATTTATTATAACTGGTGGGGAGGCAAAAATAAATATTAAAAACCATAACTGTAACATACCAAAGCTGTTCTTCAATAAAGTTTACATAAGCTGTTTTAGACTTTTTATGCCCTTGCTTCCTAAAAAACAATCAAAACCACCTCTAAGTCCTTCAGTTGACTGCCCAGAACTTGAATCATTAACAACAACAGCAAAAAAAAATCAAACAACAACAAAAAACCCCCTCAAGATTTCTTCCAAGCATGTCAGAGTTTCATAAATCTCTCCAATTAATTATTCTCTTCCAAATACCTAGATGGACTCTCCAAAGCAAATGGCTCTTTGCTGGGGTCCCTTAACTGTAAGAGTTGTTTAGTACAGCTTTGTAAAAATCCATGCATTCTTTATGCAGAAGAAGGTATTACTCAATTACATATTTTAAAATACTCTGTAAAAAGAGATTTTCACTTTGCTAATTTACTTTAATGAATATACATATATACCTTTACATAGTTTTGGCTTATGCACAGTAGTAACATGTAAAAAAAAATACTGTAAAGTCATCTTTAGCAAATATATTCCCCAAAAGGAAAAAAATTAAGAACAGAAACGTCAATCTCAAGGTAATGGTACTACAACTGCGTCTGCCATAAAAATAATGACACATCACCCAGAACAATCAATCTCTAATAACTCTAAGTCATTTCTTTCAAAATGTTTCCTCTTTATCAATGCTTAATCTTCTAAATTTAGCTTCAGAAAAAATACTTCCACTATAATTCCAAATAATTGCTTAGAAGAGAACCTGAAATGGGCAGAAAACATTTGGAGACATATTCACTTAAGTGTTATTTCACTGTATTATATAACACAGACGTATAAATATCAGTGGCTTATATTTTCCACAAGGTTAACTACTATTACTAGAATATTCTAGAATGCTTTTCTTTTAAATCATAACTGAAAAGTTATATGCCATTTCCAAAAACAGTAAATATTCTTGAAAAGAATAATTAGTGAACAATATTATGACCAGGAAGAATTATATCTCCCTCATCTAATTAAGCAAGGTACAGCGTTAGACGCTTCTCAAGTCAAGTTTAACAGACACGGTATCTGTTCCCCAGGAATCTCCAGCCTCCAGAGCTGTTATGCCCCCACTCTGTCCGACACCAACAACAACCAGTATAATATCCCCTGAAGTCCATTCCAAATTAGGAGGCAGCTTCTTGTTTTCAATTAACATATTTAAAACTCCATCTTGAAGAAAAACACAGGTGGGTCTAAAAGCAGCATTGCATTAAGTGAATCTAACAAATGGACAAGGCAGGAGCTGAGGGCTGAAGAGAGGCAAAGGTCAGAGGGAGGACACCCAGACAGAGAGAGGGTGTGGGTCGGTATTCCTAATCCACCTCTGTCACTGCGAACCACACTTCTCCTCTCGTCAGGGACCGGCCGAGGCTGCTGCTACTGCTGCTACTGCTGCTGCTGCCCAGGGCTCAGTGAGAGGATGACACGTAAAAGCTGCAGAGCCCAAGCAGGCCTGAGGCTCTGTATTTCAATTTCATTATTTAAAATTTTATACTTATATGTAAATTTCTCCTTATCTACACTGCTTTAAAACAGCTTTATTCTCCTAGAGTATGTTATCTTGATTCAGCATCCCAATCACCTAACCTTTTAATTGAGAGAAATCATATTACTCTGATTTAGCAGAGATTTTATTAACAGGGCAGAAAGGAAGTTGTCTTTCTATACAGAACAATTAACCAGAATTCTGCATATTTTAAAAGCTTTCTGTATATAAATGCTTTCCATTCACCTCATAATCTTGGTTAAAAATGCACAGTATGGATGCTAAACTTAAAGTGAACAAAAGATTTATTTTCTTCAAACACGGGCATACTGGAAGGAAGTTCAGTCATTTACTTGCACGCACTTAAAACAATACTCCTGGCACTGCAGTGACAACGGCTCCGAATCGCAAAGGTCAGTTAAGTAAAAGGAGGCAAAGGCAGCAGAACTCAGATGCTAAGAATAAAAACAAAAATAGGTCCAATGCAGCATTTTGAGAATGAAGATCAATGAAAACAGTTTTCAATACCATATTACTTACAGCATTATTTTCTATACTATTATGAGAGATCATTTCCTCTTTGCTGGTTCTTGACATTTGTCTTAATAAAAACAATACTTAAGGCAAAAATTTTCATTATCTGAAGTGAAAAGCTAATACACTGCCTCAGGTGGAAAGTACTCAGGTAATAGGGTAAAGTGAGAAGACATGATAGAAATATAAATGGTGTGGCAAGGAAAGAACAGCATCATATTTTATTTAACTATTGATCTGAGTGATACAGCAGCAGGTTGTCTTTCCAATCAAAACTACTTTTATAAAGTAAACCAAATGCCCTTGCCTGCTCCACAGTGAAGGTCTTCAAAAGAATCAACTGAGAAGATGAGGTACAAGAAAATTATGATCTAAACCACAAAAAAATGACTAAAACATGAGTGAATAATGTATACTATCATTTAATGCTATAATTCTCAGAAATTCTAAGTAAACAATCTTACTGCTTAATGCTTATAAGAGCAAGCATAGAATTAATGAGACTGTTAATGTATCAAATCAATAATGAAGTAGAGATAATGGCATATATATGCGTTGAGCTTAATCAATAGAAACAAATGAAATTCAGTACATAAAGATTTTCTAAAATCAAGCCAGTAGTGCCATAGATAAAATAACGCGGTAGCTCTCCGTTTGCTTACCTGTGAGCACAGCTTTTGCGGAAGGATCTGCCAGGTCCAGGGCTGACTTCCCATCAGTGTTCCGAATGTTTGGATCGGCTCCGTGCTGCAGCAGCACTGTGCAGGGAAAGCAGAAACAGTATCTTACCTCGGGGACACAAAGATTATTTACTGGGAAGTGTCGTCTCGGCATGGTGTAGGCATACACATACATTGCACAGTGTTTTTCTCTTTCAAGAAAAAAAAAGGAGAAAGAAAGAGAAAGAACGGGGAAAAAAGCACTGCAGCAAAGGATCCTCTCTAGAGTACAGCAAAGTTGGCAACTTATGGTACAGTATTATCACATGACTGAACATCATAAACATGAAACCAGGAAAATCTTGCAACAGACAGTTTGGGTCTGCTGCCTTCAGGTAGCAGGATGGGAGGCTGTGTGCTCACTGCCTCGCACTGTGCAGTACGCTAACCGGCTAACCGAACCGGCCCTATCTTTACTACCACTGTGGCTGCTTGTTGCTACTGCTGCTTTACAGCTGAATTTCCTAACACTTCCTCTCCTAAGAGGAGTTGTAATACTGTGCAAGCCTTTTAGTGGCTCACCGCTTACATATAAATCTCTCACCCTAACATACTGGCTTGCTTCCAAGAAGTTTCACAGACACAGCAATGCATGCAACTCTGGTCCCCCACAGTCGAGCTGCAAAGAACTGCCTTCTACAATAATTCTTTCCATCAAAAATGTTTAGAAACAGAAACTCAATCACTATAACATATGCTAAGGAATAAATACTGAGCATGCTGTATTGGATAAAAAGTAGCGATAGAGGATTCTTGGATACAGGGGCTCCCTAAAGACAATCAATGCTTAAGTAAAATCTAGATATCATAATTGATCAATCTAAAACATTTCTCAACTACATCAGGTATGGGAGCGGGGGGACATCAGGTATGGGGGGGGAGCTGTGGTAGTAACACTACCCAGCCAACAGTTAAACTAATAAATATAGTAAAGACTAGTTCATAAAGGACACATCGACAAAGCCAAAGGGGGGTAGGATCGAGGGTAGGAGGTGGGGATGGCTGGGGTGGTGGGGGAGACAGATGAGGGGAAAATGGAGACAACTCTACTTGAACAACAATAAAAAAAACCACAATAAAAAAAACTAGTTCAAGTAAGCAAAGGTCAACCACAAGCTATTCTAATAGCTCAAATAATTAAGATTTTGTGTACTCCTGAAGAGAATAGGACATAAATTTAAAGCAAAGCAGAAACTTAATTCAAATAAGTACTTAAAAATATGTTATACAGTGTCTAAAAACATCTGCTCATGAGTTCTAAATTTTCGTTCATTAACAGTTCTATGCTAAAGTATATACATTCTTTTGGAATATTTGGAAGACAACCCTCATAAGTCCTGCTGTTTATGAAGCTCTCCCTCTTTCTTTAACGCATAAGCCACCTAGCCAATGGTTTTGTTATAACGTACAAAGGAACAGCCCTACCTAGAATTAGGACACAGCTGCAGGGCACTGTTGATCAGCAGCTCTGGCATTAAATCCCTGGCACTCTCATATTTGAGGTGATCAAGATTAGCCACAGTTTGAAAAGATACAGTGAGATTTTTGCCAAAACTTTCTGTATTACTTTATTCTTAATTAAGCAAGAACATAATTATTTTACAGATGTTTATCAACTGACTCAAGAGTAAGTGGAGTAAAATATAGCAAGAGTAAAAACAGCAAGTGCCACAATACCAAACTGTATTTACTCTTTCATCGTAATGAATAAGCTTTCACAGCAGTGTTTTTTTACTCCAGGAAGAAATCCCCACCTGAAGATCTGGCTTTTAAAGGGTCTGCATCATGAAGCAGATTCTCGTATCAACTGTAGAGCTGACAGCTATTGCTCTGTCTTTACAGCAATATATTGCTGAGAGATCACATACAAAGGCAGGAAAACAAAGAATTAACTGCGGCCATGAAAAACAGAGTTTTGCACTGCATACATCAAGAAAGCAAGCAGTGCGTTCATTTACCAAGGCTTCACAATAATACGATGGGAGCTTTTATTCTGCAGCTTCATGAGTGGTAGAGGCGAAGCACTGAAAGCATCTTGTTCCTCCAAGAGTCACTTAAAACCCCAATCTTTTTTGTTGTAATCAGTCCTTCACCTGTTATGTCTGCTATTTTGCAAGAGAAATCTGCCATTGAAGTTTAGTTGCAGTTTCTTTACTTGGGTGGTTTTTAAAGAAACATTTTTTGACTAGAAATAATCTGTTTTCTAAACCTTTCTGAGTCATACCTAATTCTTTCATTGGACCTGAATACACAGAAACATCCACTGCAGAGAAATGTGACAATGAGGAAGAAGAAGATGAATCTTCTGAACCAGAGGGTATTTTATTAACGTGATAATAAAATGCACATTAGAAAATATTTAACAATTTTTTTTAGATTTTATTTATTTATTTTTAGAGAGGGAAAGGGAGGGAGAAAGAGAGAGAAAGAGAAACATCAATGTGCAGTTGCTGGGGGCTGTGGCCTGCACCCAGGCACGTGCCCTGACTGGGAATCGAACCTGCGACACTTTGGTTCGCAGCCTGCGCTCAATCCACTGAGCTATGCCAGCCAGGGCTATATTTAACAATTTTTAATTCACCAGATATGAGTTTAAAAAATAACCCCTCAAAATAGAGTTGAGTTTTAGGAGCAAGAAAGTTATTTAAAACTACATCAGAAGGATTTAAACTTACTTAACTTTTATAAGAGAATATTACTAACAGGATTAAATAAGAACAAAAGTGGCAAAATATGTATAAGATAATAGTAATTTTTAAAACACATTTTAAAAAATGTAGACCCTGTTTGTACTCTTAACTCCACTACTAACTACTAATTTTATCCTAACGCCAGATCTTCAGATCTTCCCATTTCCCGTAAAAAGGGTCAGACAGTAGACACATGAGGCTTTGTAGACCATGCAGTCTCATCCCGACGACGCATCCCTGCCTCAGCCCCAGCATTACGGGGGAAAAGCGGCCACAGACAATACTTAAAAGAATATGTGTGGCTGTGTTCCAAAAAAATTTTATTTAAACTCATTGACAAATGAATCGTATATAATTTTCATGTTTCACAAAACATTATTATGGTGAATTTTTAAACATCACTTAAAAATGTAAAAACAATTCTTGGCTGGCAGGGCATACAAAAAACCAGTGATGAGTCCAAATCGGCCCATGGGCCACAGTCTGCCAAGCCTGGCCGCGGGCAGCGATGAACCAAGTGGAGTGTGCGGACTGTCCTGGTTCCAGAACACTCGGATCCGTCCACACTGAGATAAGAGGAAGCATTCAGAACCATGCACGTCATTTTAACATTACTTTTTCTTGTACTTCATTTTGACTATAGTTTACAAAACGGCCTGTCATGAATTGGGTAGGAAAAAAACTGGTTTTCTACCACAGACGGCGGGAGAGGCTCTGCCAGGGCACCTGTAAAATTCTCTGGGCCTCAGTTCCCAGATCTCTTAAGTGAAGGAGCTGGGCCAGGTACGTGATTTCTAGATGTCTAGGGGAGGCCTCAAACCCCTAATAATGCTTTTAGAGTTACAGCCAAAAACCTGAAGCATTGTGATCTAAGTTCTTTTTTTTAAAAAAGTTATCGTCTAATACCAGAAGAATAGCACATACGCGAGGCGAAGGTAACAACAAAGGCTTTCAAGAATGTCAGTATGTCCTTGAGGTGGCGGCACATAGGACTCCTTTTTCTGGATGTGTCAATATGTGCTTTCAAAGTTCTTAGCTACTGAAGGGAATAATAAAATGTGACTACTAATACATCACATAATTAGAAATTCATCTTTCAATATGCATTGACAGCACCCTAATATAAAAGAGATCCTTCTTTTCAAGTAGCACAAATGTCTGAAGCAAAATTCCCAAAACATACAAACAACATACAGAGTAAAGTCTGAAAGAAAAACGGGGAAATTAAGATCTGAGTGACATTCAGTACATAAATTCAAAACTACTGCGGGCATTCCAATCTCCCTGCACTATCTCCTTGAGGTCCATTATCAGCCCTCAAGTCTCAAACAACTTGGCTCTGTCCAGTTGTTCTACTGGTGCATCTCACATCCATTTATCTCCTTTTGATGGGAGGAGGACAGAGAAAATATAGCAGCTGGTGTAAAAATAGATTGTTAAAACTAAGGTAGGATAACAATATGCAAAATGTCATTCTCTAAAGAGCTTATGGCAAGAAGGCCACGTGATTCTCCTATTTCTGGTGCCAACGTTTAGCTACAGTGAGCCAGATTCAGAAAGCATGCCTTCAGCCTGTGACCAATGCAGCGGACACTAAAACTGTTTCAGTTAATTCCTCAAAACTATTAAATTTAAGCATTCGCATCATTTTAATTCATACTTTTATATATGCAAAGCTTCAACCTGTTAAATTCCTAGAAATATCCTAAGGGCAATATGATAAAATGCACTTAACTTATAGGAACATTATTAACTGATTTAATAAGATAGAATAAAAACAATGTGAACTTCCCAAACTGAAAATTTAGCAAGTCTACTAGGTAAATTATCAAAATGGGTTTTTAGTATAGTTTTCACTTTAAAAGATTGTCAATTCTTTGTTATGTGAATTTTAGAGCTACACTAATGGTCTAAAACTGTTCCTCACAATGAACAATTTTAAAAGAAGCTATATTTATGTTAAAATGTTTTCCAAGTATTTCAAAGTCATCTCACTCTTTAAAAGAGTACAGGCATATTCATTTGACTAGATTTTAAAAATTGAATCACACAAAGGACCCAGTTTTACAGATATTTTAGCAAATAAGATGATTTCTAAAGCAAAATATCAAGGGATCACTATGTTACAGAAGTTTGGGAAACATCTTGGGCTTTCCACAAAATGCAATGGAGCGCAAAACCAAACCTCCAGAAGCTCGGGGTGATGTGCCAGCAGGTGAGCTCTGCTCACACAAGAGTAAATATTTTTCAGGAGGGAGTGAAAACAACAGCACTGCAGAGTCTCCACGATGCCTATTAAACACAAAATTATTAGACTTACAAAGGAAAGGGAAAATGTGACCCACGGTC